CAAATATGTCTCCTTGCTTGTAAACGAAATAAGAACGTCACTACCTTATAATGATGATCAAATATTTCACCCATATGATGATCAAATATTTCACCCATATGATGATCAAATATTTCACCCATATGATGATCAAATATTTCACCCATATGATGATCAAATATTTCACCCATATGATGATCAAATATTTCACCCATATGATGATCAAATATTTCACCCATATGATGAGTAGAAAAATAGGAACATTAACGTCGCTTATTTTCAGTATATTTATTTTCACGCGTGGTTACGTCCCATAAAGGATTTAGTCCCTTTAGTTTACGCCCCTGAATCATTGATATTCATATTGCCCTAAATCCTGTAACCTTTGAGCTTTTACAATTTTCTTGAATGTTAACTAGTAAAATTGACATGTTTTGACCAATTTCTAGCTAGAAATTGATAGATAGTTTGTAAAATAATGAGATGGCATCAAGAAGACCTGGTAACAAAGTTAAATCTCAGATATTTTAACATACCTGCAGACGCTCCAATCGAACAGCTGTCTCGCGCCTTGTGATGTTATCGAACTCTGCAGCTTGACATGAAATAAAATACTTATATAGATATATATATGTTTAAATACATTTTTTTTTTTGAAGTCCCGCGGTGCCCGGATGTTCTTGTACCATAAAAGAGCATTAATCAATAGTGGTTAACAATGAGGCTAGCCATCTGTTCGCTAATTGGATCCTACTTTGAACGAGGTCTTTACCACAACGATGACGTTTCAGACCGGCGCTGAACTTTTTGACTTTAAAAAAAAATGGTGTCGTTGGACTGCAGTGGGTGTGTTGGGTGACACTGATTTGTTACAAAGGTGTTCTAGTTCATTTGAATTATTATTACTCTGAATTTGGCTCCTCTAAAAATAAGCTCCCACTGTAGAGGTGACTAGACCATTAAAGTATTGTAAAAAAAAATATTTAAATATGTAACTTACCGAATTAATGCTTAAATATTTATCTTAAAATTGATATTAATTTATTTTGAATATCAGTTTTCGGATATTAGACGGAAGGTTATTTACAAACAAATGAAATGGCTGGGTTATCATGTGTGAAGATCTCCGTCCTAATGAAATTGGTTTGGTCAAACCATGTGTTAAAGGTCGTGGAATATATTAAAATAAATAAAAAGAGTCCTTTTAAACACAAAGAGCTTTAATGCCGTTTAATTCAACGGATATATATTGACATATTGGCATTAATCCCATTTCTTCAAGCCTGTCCTTTAAAAGTTGCTGCGTAATTTATGGAAGAGAAATGTTTAAATTTTCACTATAAACAATGAAAGATACACTATTATAAGCGAGGCATGGACAATTTTTAGATCACTGGAGGAGGGGGAGGGGGTAACTGTCAATACATTTTACCTAATAATAAAAAAAAAAGTGACCTTTACTCGAAATCATATTCACCCGTTCTCAGCCCCTTAAATTCAGCCCCCCCCCCCCCCACATAATAAGATGGACAAAGAGGTGGAATACAACAACTCAATTAAGTTTTGGGGATGCACTTGATCCTTGGTGTTAAAGTTCAACATAACTTTGAACAATCAGAAGGATATTCCGCCATCGTGGAAACATCTGCTTGTATAATCGATATGTGCTACTTGGGACATCTTAGGTTTGGTTGAAGCTTGTGGATGCAGCCATGCTTTTTAACAGTGATACTAGCTGGGTATTATGATGGTGTTTTAATTAAACGAAGCTGTGAAAACTACGTGATGATTACGTCTTGGGACAACTGAACAGCCACGTTGCATTAATGCAGTGTGTTGTTTAAGTGTCACGTTACATTCATGCATGTGTTTTTCAAGTGTCACGTTATATTAATACGGTGTGTTGTTCTTGTTCAAATGTCACGTTACTTTAATACAGTGTGGGGCACAAATGTCGCCTACATTTCCGCCATGGTGTAAGAGTTAGGGAGGGGGGTATTTTCTTCATTTATTTCATGTTTCATACAATCTCTTCCTATATCATAAACACAGCTTCATAATAAAACCCAGTGTCAGATCCATAACTAGACCCAGTGTTTGATTTACTCCGAGATCCAGTTTCTGATCCATTGCAAACCTAAGTTGATGAAATAACGTTAGTTAACTCAAATTGTATTAAAATTTTTGTCTGAACATAAATGATCTTCAACGTTTAAACACTCAAGTTCAGTGCCATTTAATCTGTCATTACACAATTTAAACACAATTTAAACACAACTCACCAAAGACCAAATGTATACAAAGACGAAACTTGATGGTTTCCATGACATTTATTGAGGGATTATATAATAACTATACAAATACAAACATACAGCTACAATAAAATCGAAACATTACAATTATTAATTCACTGCACCCTTCAGCTAAATGCACAACAGACCAACTATAGTTTTCGAAGCTAGGAAAATTTTAGTTCTTACTTCTACCATCGTCCAATGTTAAAAAGATATTAATTTTTTTCACTTTAAACTTTGCACCTGCAATGAAATAGCAGATTAAATATTTATTGTTAAGAAGGCTTTATAAAAACTAAGTTTAAATAAAGATATGAAATAAGAGTCTACACAAAATGTTACATTCATTGGGAGATAAAATGACCAGGGATGCTTGTTGGTAGAAGGGTTGGTACGGGAAGGGGTTGCAATGAAAATGGTTTGACAAAGTTTATTTGACGATGTTTTATTGATGTACATCAAGACAGCTGCCGCACCGACACACAGCTGCCGCACCGACACACCACATCAGCAGCTACCACATCAGCAGCTACCACATCAGCAGCTACCACATCAGCAGCTACCACAACAGCTACCACAACAGCTACCACATCAACACACAGCTACCACATCAACACACAGCTACCACATCAACACACAGCTACCACATCAACAGTTACCACATCAACAGTTACCACATCAACAGTTACCACATCAACAGTTACCACATCAACAGTTACCACACCAACAGTTACCACACAAACAGTTACCACACAAACAGTTACCACACAAACAGTTACCACACAAACAGTTACCACACAAACAGTTACCACACCAACAGTTACCACACCGACACAGATACCACACCGACACAGATACCACACCGACACAGATACCACACCGACACAGATACCACACCGACACAGTTACCACACCGACACAGTCATGGGCACCCGCAGGTAGGGGCAAGGTGGGGCACTTGCCCCCCAGCCCCCTGGATCGATTTGATAAAAACAATTTTAGACAAAAATAGACAAAAAATTTATTAAACTAAAGAGAAAATAAAGAGAAAGTAACTAAGCTGATGTCCTGTCCGTTCGTTCACCATACAAATACGCTACAGTAAATTAAAACTACATTAAAACATGGCTAAAATTTTTTTGCCCCCCCCCCTGGAAAGTTAATAGATTTTTTTGCCTCCCTCCTAGAAAGTTTTCTGCGGGCGCCCATGGACATAGTTACAACACCGACGCAGTTACCACACCGACACCCTGTACAGTTACTACACCGATATATAGTTAAAACACTTATATGTAGTTACAACACTAGTATAGTTACAACACTGATTTATGGTTACAATAATTAGACAACATAAAACGTGCCAAGCAGAGTTTCCAAGCCTATTTTAAGACTATTTGTTAAACATGGCAGATACTATCAAACTTTAATGGAGAAATATCAAACATTTACTTAAAGTTACTCGAACTTCACACTTCTCGCAATGGCTGTCAGTTATCAAGTGCTAAGAAAATGTTTGGAAAGACAATTTTGTCATTTATTTAAATAATTTATTTGAGATTTCAAAAACCCCAAAATAAGTAAACTTTGTTTTAAAACTTTCCACTATGAAATGGGATACAAATATTTAACTGGCGTCGGCAATGACACATCAATAAGTTTTCAAATATTCAATGCGATCGCTGTTATAAAAAAATTTTTTAATGGAATGTCAACTTACAGAAAACACTTTAAATATCTACACACACATTGCGACCATAGATGATAAGACAATGCTTTTTTTGTGCCGAGTGTTTGTTGTCTACAGTGACACAATAGGACAGAGATGGCATGCTATTAAGGTTCAAACAGGTCTTGCGTTTAAAATGTTTTTGTAGATTAAAATAATGTTATAAAATAGTAAAAGATGTTAACGTCATTTTGGTTAAAACTGACCAAACAACGGTTAAAAAATGCACCAAAAAAAAAATAAAAAAATTGATGCCTCTAAATAGACGAATTATTTTTGTTAAAAATTGTGTATGTAAAATTTCAATGAAGATGCCATAAAAAGATGATGTGAATACCACACGCCTCAGAAAAGCTGACAAGTGATTGTGATTGATGCGCAGCTAAACACGATATAAGCTTTTTAAAAAATAGAGAGTGGGGTGGGGATGGTCTTGTTTTTAAGTTTAAGCCTAAGTAGAAACCGCAAAATATAACCCTTTAACCTTTCATGTCGAATGAAAATTAATATTCTTATAAAAAATAGTAATTAATTTTTTTTGTTTGTTTGGTTGTTTTTTGGTGGACAAACGGTTGGGGATATAACATAGTTGTAAAAATCTGGGGCACGCAAAAAAAAAAAAAAAAAAGTAATAAAAAAAAAAATTATGGTAACGAGTGCAAAGTAACTTCATGTCTTGATTTTTTTTTGTTTGTTTGGTTGTTTTTGGGTGGAAAAACGGTTGGGGATATAACAAAGTTGAAAAAATCTGGGGCACGAAAAAAAAAAAAAAAAAAAGTAATAAAAAAAAAATTATGGTAACGAGTGCAAAGTAACTTCATGTCTTGAGATGCAGACAGAGGCTGTGGACATTGCCTGTCTTTCAACAGAAGCAGGCCCACCGCAGGGCAAGCGTAGTCAGAAAACTTTCACCGTACGCATCCTGTTGGGTCTCAAAATGGAGATCGTGCAGGTAGGCGAGACCCCAGAACGAAGGCTCGAATACTACAGTGCTGCCTAGATTGCTACCGAAGGGGCCGAACTGGTTGCCAAAGGAGGTAATGAAGCCAATGTGCAGAAAAAATGGCCGAGTGACGGCATAACACACCTGGACTATGCGCTCATCAAGAGCCAACATCACCTGTAAGGTAAGAAGGAAACATGGATTTGAAGATAACTTGCATTTATATATATACATTACAGACAACATGTATTTAGAGTCAACTAGTATTTAAAATGAACATGCAATTTTAATCACCATGTATTTAGAGATATGTATTCTTAAAATTTTGTCTCTGGACAGTTCAGTGTAAGGAGTTACTCACCTTGCACCTGGCCTTGAGAGGGAGGTCATTGCCTTCACTGTCAGTTAACATGTACACCTTGGTGTGATGGTCTCTGTACACAACGGTCAGTCCAGCGATCACATGGTAGTCTTCATAGTTCCTGAGGAGACAAAACAATGTTATTGTTTTTTTTTAAAAATATAACATTTAATATAACATTTAATATAACATTTAATATAACATTTAATATAACATTTAATATAACATTTAATATAACATTTAATATAACATTTAATATAACATTTAATATAACATTTAATATAACATTTAATATAACATTTAATATAACATTTAATATAACATTTAATATAACATTTAATATAACATTTAATATAACATTTAATATAACATTTAATATAACATTTAATATAACATTTAATATAACATTTAACAAAGTAAAATGAGAAAAAAATGTACAATTTTTTTTACGTACATACTACCAGAACTATGGCACAACCAGATCTACAACCAACGATAAACAACCAAGAGTGAAAACAAAAGAAACAACACCAAATAGACAACCACAGGGAACAACCACAAAGACGACCACAGAGACACAGAGAGACACATCCAGAGCGACACAACCAGATAAAAGGGTATTTAACCTCACCAGAGTACTTGCTTACCTAACTGCTACCTCAATAGATTCTATCTCCATACTGTCTTCAAGAAACGGGCCCACTGTGAACTCAGCTGGCCGGTCGACACTGATGGTGTGGTGCAAAACTCCACAGCGAGCCATGAGCCGGTGGCGGGACCACGCAGCAGGGGTCTCTGCAATCAGATGTGTATCAATGCCGCGACCAGGCAGACTCCACAGCTCTGCGGCATGCCGGACATAGTAAGCGACCACTGGGTTCCTGGCCAGATTGCCGTACTGGGACAGTATTGACTGGACACGTCTGGGATACAAGTCCAGCAGTCTGACAGTAGCAACGAGCCTCAGAGCTATGTCCGTGTCGTCCGGACATCTGGCCGAGAGGTACTTCAAGACAGCCGTGAACAGGCTGTACTCAAGCTCCATTGTGTTGAGCGGATCGAATCTTGACCTCAGGACGATGAGATCGTCGGTGTCGAAAGCCTGGATCAAACTTTCGGGATCCATGTTGGGATACTCTGGGTTTTCAGTGGTCTTTAATAAATGCCTGCAGAAATACTTGAGCGCCATGGACTTGAGCTTCGGGAGTCCTAGCATCTGAGCAAGATGCAAGGCGTGGAATACTGACCGTGGGGTCAGGTAGAAGATGAGGTAATCAACACAGCGATCCTGTGATGGCAGAAGTCAAAGAGGTAAACAAGGATTGGTGTAGAGTTTAGTTAAGAAGATGAGACATATGCAAAACTGGACAACAACATGTCACAAACATTACGATACATATGGGTACTTTTTTTCCCCAATGATTGGAGTTTAAACAGCTATAATACCTCTGTACATAACTGTACATAACTGTGTACATAACTTTGTAAATAACAGAAAATAAAGTAAATTAGTTTGTAAATAGCGGCTTTTCAGGGGGGTTTAGTCCTACCTAAAATTGCTCATGAACCTGTGGGCAAATGTCTCATGAACCTGCGGGCAAATGTCTCATGAACCTGCTGGGAAATGTCTAATGAACCTGCGGGAAAATGTGTCTCATGAACCTGTGGGTCAATGTCTCATGAACCTGCGGGGAAATGTCTCACGAACCTGCGGGGAAATGTCTCATGTGCCTGCGGGGGCAATGTCTCATAAACCTGGTAGGAAATGTCTTATAAACCTGCGGGCCAATATCTCATAAACCTGCGGGCCAATGTCTTATAAACCTGCAGGCCAATGTCTCATGCACCTGCGGGCAAATGTCTCATGGACGTCACAGAAAATATCTCAAACCTACGGGCAAATGTCTAATGAACCTATGAGAAAATGTCTAATGAAGCTGCGGGAAAATTTCTCATGAACGTGTGGGAAAATGCCTCATCAACGTGCGGCAAATGTCTCATGAACGTGTGGGAAAATATCTAATAAAGCTGCGGGAAAATTTCTCATGAACGTGTGGGAAAATGCCTCATCAACGTGCGGGCAAATGTCTCATGAACGTGTTGGAAAATGTCTCATCAACGTGCCAGGAAAAGGCCTCATGAAACTGCGGGCCAATGTTTCATGAACCTGCGGTCAAAAGGTGCAAGAAATGTGCCCGCAAACATAGCCAAAGAGAAAGATTGTTCGGAAACTTTAACCGTGCCATGCCATAAACAATGATGCTTTGGGTGTAGTTTGCTCAGTAAACTAAAATACTTGGAATTGTGTTTGGTTCCCCCAGAAAGCACTGAAGGACTTTGGAGTGTAATTCCCCACAAGGAACTGGAAGATTTGGACCTGTGTGTATTGCCCTCAGGGACCTGGAAGACTTTGACCTAGTTCCCTCATAGAAATGAAAGACTTGGATGTTGATGCTTTTACCTCATGGAACTAGAAGACATTCACTACCGTTCCTCTAACTTAACAATTTTATTTCGCCATCATGTTTGACAATACTACTACTAGTTAACGATAATCTTGTGATCTCGGTGTCTTTCTATTTTTTTTACGTTCCTGGTCACAGTCTGAAAACTGTACAACGTTGATTTGATGGACCATTTCAGTTGAAGTCAAAAAAATGATCACACGTCACCTTCAGTTGGTCAATCCAAAAATAGTCTGCGAGGATCAACAGGGGTTTGACATTCTTGGAAGTCAGCCGGACATTCCCATTGTAGGCGTAGTAAATAATCTGGTTGAAATGTCGCATCAAGTCTTTGCCAGGTAGGAGCAGCGATTCAAAGCTGTGCAGTTTGATCACGGTCTGCTGACCATGAAACTAAAATATTAAAAATAATAACAGTTTATGCCAAGGACGTCGTATATACCTAACGGTGGTCAAAAAGTTTTCCGAATAGTGCATCTTTCTTTGAAGACCCGCAAACCTAGTCAAGTGTTATGAGATTAACTAAGGTGTTTGTTAAGAACATTGAAACGAGAAGGTTTGACCATCCAATTTAAGTTCTATGGTAGAACTGTTATAATATCATAGTCATGTAGCTAACTGATATTTAGTACCTATCCTAAACATAGCCTTGAAGACATCAGACATAGTCAATAACTTACCCTAAGCATAGCCTTGAAGACATCAGACAAAGTAAATAACTTACACTAAACATGGTTTTGAAGACAACAGACAGAGTAAATAACCTACCTTAAGCATTGCCTTGAAGACATCAGACAAGGTTTCAAACAGAAGTCTGTGAACTTTGAATCGCCTGTAAGGTGTCTTAAATTTCATGTCTCTAGGGACTTGTCTTTCAACAGAAAAATAGTTTTGGGAGAATCTGTTCAGCTGAAATAAAACGCAAAATCATCTGACACTGTACTGAGTTTGCCAAAAATAATTTTTACTTTAGGAAAAGAACACACAAAATATGTTCATGAGAAATTTATTATTAAGACATAACATATATAAATATATATATAATATAGCTTAATGGTGGGACCCCCGAAAACAAGATTTGTGGAGCAACCAAAGACTAAAAGATTGGGGAGCCATTAAAGACTCAAAGATTGAGGAGACATTAAAGATTCAAAGATTGGTGGGGACTTCAAAGACTCAAAGATTGGTGGAGACATTGAAGATTCAAAGATTTGTGGAGACATTAAAGACTAAAAGATTGTGGAGACACTGAAGATTCAAAAATTGATTGAGACAGTGAAGAGTCAGATTGGTGGAGCCACTAAAGACTCAATATTGTTAAAGCTCTTGAAGAAACAAAAATGGTGGACCCCCAATCCCCCCTAACCCATCTGTTCCACATAAAAAAATGGGTTAGTTCAATTCATATGAATGGATTTCGATGCCCTCTGAAATTAGTTTACATTAAGGTTCATATATAGAAAAAAATCAAATCTCCTTCAGACCAAAATGAAATAAAAACCATAAATCTTATCCCTCCACCCCCCCCCCCCCCCCCCCCCCACACACACACAAGCTTTATATGAGTATGGTTTCCCTTACTCCAGGATTGATGACGTCATATTTTAAAGTCTTGAGAAGCTCCCTCTGCTCGAGGTCCTCCTGATACACCAATCTGGTCGTGTGGGCGAGGGTCACCTTGTCCCGCCAGTAATTGTGGATCTTCTGAGGGGACCAGTGAGGTTTTGGGGAGAAGGTCACCGTCAACACTGGCTCGTAACCATGGTAACATTTAAAAACGTATTCTGTATCGTAGCTGATGTCGAAGTCAAGGTCATCCATGGACGCAATGCTGCAATGAGAGCCAGGGTAATTTTGAGAGTAATTTCAAGACTAATTTCAAGACTAATTTCAAGACTAATTTCAAGACTAATTTCAAGAATAATTTCAAGAGCAATATCTAGACTAATTTCTATACTAATTTCTAAAGTAATTTCAAGAGTAATTTCAAGATTAATTTCAAGTCTAATTTCTAGACTAATTTCAAGAGCAATGTCTAGACTAATTTCTAGACTAATTTCTAGAGTAATTTCAAGAGTAATTTCAAGAGTAATTTCAAGACTAATTTCAAGACTAATTTCAAGACTAATTTCAAAACTAATTTCAAGACTAATTTCTAGACTAATTTCTAGAGTAATTTCAAGAGTAATTTCAAGAGTAATTTCAAGAGTAATTTCAAGAGTAATTTCAAGACTAATTTCAAGACTAATTTCTAGAATAATTTCAAGAGAAAAATCTCGAGACTAATTTGTCGAATAATTTCAAGAGTAATTTCAAGAGTAATTTCAAGAGTAATTTCAAGAATAATTTCAAGACTAATTTCTAGAATAATTTCAAGAGAAAAATCTCGAGACTAATTTGTCGAATAATTTCAAGAGTAATTTCAAGAGTAATTTCAAGAGTAATTTCAAGAGTAATTTCAAGATGTAATTTCAAAAAACATAAACCTAAAAAGAACATTTCTTAGTGCGAGAAATGGATACTTATAATTTAAGGGTGATTCTTTCCTTGAAGGTGAAAGCTCTCTTGTAGAAATATAGAAATACTTCGAAAACAGTGGTATAATATTGTTCTTAGACAACTGCATTGGCTTTGCAGATGACTACATGAAAATGAAATTAAGAAATATAACTTTATGCTTGGAATGCAGGGGCACAAAGAAAAAGAGGCAGGGGGTCCCCCAGATGTCACGCCACTGCACTTGAGGTGCTTTAAAAAATTGATAATGCTGTTCTCCAAACGCTTTCAGAAGTCACCGATTTAAAGCTGTTCAAGCTGTATTAGATTTGTTTATAGTATATACCGCTGTACAATAGTACTTACTGTGTGTAGCTATATTGTGTTACTTGGTTTCAAGTCGCTATCCAGCCAGCTAGGACGCTGGTACAACTTGAAGTGTCAATGTCATCAGTGTTAGGGTTCGCCTTTTATAGAGAAGGACTTGCACCCATCCTACCCCCCCCCCAGATATGCCCAGGTGCGCAGCAATCAGGGGCGATCACATAAAGGGGTGTGCAGGGATTCCGAGAAGTTCAGTAAAAGCTAAAGCTTGAGACGTATAACCGGTTAGCTGGTGAGTTGCCATTTATGAAAGGAGGCCCGCCTTAGTCTAGGACGCAACATACAAGCCAACTCCACAACTGATCTCCTCCTCCTCCCCCCTCCAACTCCACGCCAAAGTTACCTCTGCGATTGTGGGCTCCCAATGTTGTGAGTGATATTCTCATGTGGACATGGTCATGAAATGGTGAAAAAAAAAATTCAGTTTTAATACTCCATTTGACCAGTCCAACCGAAAATTCTTGACCTAAAAAAATGTGACCTGTGTTTCCCGAAGTGTGGTCCTCGTACCCCTGGGGGTACGGGAAAAGTTGGTTGGGGTACGCGCTGCAAAGAAGAAATACATATTTTTTTTAATATGCCTTTTTTTTTCTTTTTAATGAGTGTTACTCAAAGCTAGGAAACTTTTAGCCAAGGGTACAAATATGTAGAAAGTTTGGGGAACACTGGGCTAGACTAAAAAAAAAAAAAATTGGTGTTTCAAAATTAGAACAATCAAACAGATGAACCACGTATAGATGTCCCTCATTCCGACGCAGTGAACAACAGAGAATTTTTAAAAAAAAAAAGGATTTTCAGTAAGGATTTGAAGGTCAGTGTGGTGGTTTCTGATCTCTGATCAAAGGGGAACGTCATATAATGTTTCCCTAACCCAGGATAAAGTGGCTCAAATTTATGAAGACGGGAGTTCACTGACTGGGTTCTTTGTTAGGACAGCAATGGTTATGAACTGTTGAAATCCAAATTTTATGATTTCAACTTTAATTTCGTATGGGGAGAAATGTATGGGATATCCAATTTCCACTATTATTATTTAGTATCAAAATTTTACTAAGAAAGTTTGTTTCCAGATAGGAATATTCAGTAGTGGGTTGGAGTGTACAAGTGACCTGAGACAGTCAGTGGTGAACTGGAGTGTACAAGTGACCTTGGACGGTCAGTGGTGAACTGGAGTGTACAAGTGACCTGGGACGGTCAGTGGTGAACTGGAGTGTACAAGTGACCTGGGACGGTCAGTGGTGGACTAGAGTGTACAAGGGACCTGAGACGATCATTGATAAACTGGAGTGTACAAGTGACCTGGGAGTGGTCAGTGGTGGACTAGAGTGAACAAGTGACCTGAGACGGTCATTGATGGACTGGGGTGTACAAATGACCTGAGACGATCAGTAGTGGACTGAGTGTACAAGCAACCTGAGACGGTCAGTGGTAGACTGGAGTGTGCAAGTCACCTTGGACGGTCAGTGCTGGACTGGAGTGTTAAAGTGACCTGGGACGGTCAGTGGTGGACTGGAGTGTAAAATTGTCCTGAGACGGTCAGTAGTGGACTGGAGTGTACAAATGACATGAGACGGACATTGGTGGACTGGAGTGTACAAGGGACCTGGGACGGTCAGTGGTGGACTGGAGTGTACAAGTGACCTGAGACGGTCAGTGGTGGACTGGAGTGTAAAATTGACCTGAGACGCTCAGTGGTGCACTGGAGTATACAAGTGACCTGAGACGGTCAGTGGTAGATTGGAGTGTACAAGTGACCTGAGACGGTCAGTGGTGGATTGGAGTGTACAAGTGACCTGAGACGGTCAGTGGTGGACTGGGTGTACAAGTTACCTGAGACGGTCAGTGGTGGACTGGAGTGTACAAGTGACCTGAGACGGTCAGTGGTGCACTGGAGTGTACAAGTGACCTGAGACGGTCAGTGGTGGACTGGAGTGTACAAGTGACCTGAGACGGTCAGTGGTGGACTAGAGTGTACAAGTGAGGGGGTAAAAAATCAAAAGCGGGCCTATCCGACTTTTACTTTCCATGGGAGATTTGATTCAGCCAAGGTCACGGTTCAGCCAAGGTCACGGACCAACTTGCCATGAGACGGGCGTATCGCAATCGGGTTTAAACTCAACTTCAATTTAAAAACGATTAAATGGATGGAACATTGATTGTCTTACGTCAATTTATCACTACAGGTGAGACCCCCCCCCCCCCTTTATGGTTATTGTATTTACAATATCTTGAGGTATGGTTTAAACTCAACTTTAATTTAAAAACGAATAAATGGATGGAACCTTGATTGTCTTACGTCAATTTATCACTACAGGTGAGACCCCCCCCCCCCTTTATGGTTATTGTATTTACAATATCTTGAGGTACGGTGCCATTTCAGACACGTGATTAGTGATTACGTGATTAGTGATTACGTCATGATTTAGTTCACTAAACTCACCGGTTCTTCTGACATAAGAATAAGTGCTTAGAGCTGTTTAGAACACACGGAGCATTCAAGGCGATGTCTTAATGTATGTCAGTTTAGACAAGGATCTCTTGAACTGTTCTTGGGTCGGCGACATAGACATTAACAGCTTAGATAACGACATGGACAGAAATAGCTTAGATGACAACATGGACAGTAACAGTTTAGATGACAACATTGACAGTAACAGTTTTGACGACAATATCGACAGTAACAGCTTAGATGGTTACCAGAAATTTGATCGAAAGAATTTTTGTCGACGGTAAATTGATCGACGGTAATTTGATCGAGCGGAAATTTGGTCGAATCTTTTTTGTCAGCTCACACGTTAAAATTTTCGTTCAATTTCTTTTTTAACGAACTATAATATATAGTAAAACAAAATAATGCGTTCAAAAAGAAATTTGAAGCAAAGTTCTAACGTAAAAACGTTTTAAAATATTCGACCAAATTGAGGGTTCGATCAAATTACCGTCGGTCAATTTACCGTCGACGAAATTTATTTCTATTAAATTTCCAGATCCGAGCTTGGATGGACTAACCTGGTATGTGCATGGTTGTCTTATCTTTTTATTATGTAGTACAGGAAAAATAGAAAGGTTTATACTTCGGCAAAGATCTGCATTGCCTAACTTCGTCACTCTTATCCTCCTCATTGTTCATCCCAGGAGTTCGTGTTGAGAATGTTCATTGTCGCTCCCCTCTACGGACTTGTTAAATGTTTGATAAGGTAATTATTGTACGACATCATTTTAAAATATCGGACAGTTCTCAACACAGTTAAATCTTCGCCAAGATTAGGCTTCAGCCTATGAGTATCAGACCTGTAGGCCAACAGCAACACGCGCCGGACGTTGTTTGCCTTCAGCTCAACTGTCCCAGTGTAAGCATGCGAGTAAATCTCATGGAATTAGTCAAACAACTGTTCCAGATACAGCATACAAGTAAATCTCATGATACTAGTCAACCAACTGTCCCAGATACAGCATACACGTAAATCTCCTGACACTAGTCAACCAACTGTCCCAGATACAGCATACAAGTATATCTCCTGATACTAGTCAACCAACTGTCCCAGATACAGCCTACAAGTAAATCTCCTGATACTAGTCAACCAACTGTCCCAGATACAGCCTACAAGTAAATCTCCTGATACTAGTCAACCAACTGTCCCAGATACAGCCTACAAGTAAATCTCCTGATACTAGTCAACCAACTGTCCCAGATACAGCCTACAAGTAAATCTCCTGATACTAGTCAACCAACTGTCCCAGATACAGCATACAAGTAAATCTTATGGAATTAATCAACCAACTATCCTAATGTACGCTTATGAAATGAGTAAAACAAAGCAAGGTTGAACCTGAAAAGGGAACGCAAAAAAACAACGAACGTGTCGGCAGGAAACCTTCTTCGGCGAACAAACAACAGAAAAAACAGGGGGAAAAAAAACTTAGCTGAGTTGTAGTATCCGAGAAATTAAGATAAGATTCTCTTTTGCAAATAAATAGAAACGTTTTTTTTAATCACATTATAAATGTTCATTTTCGGCAATTAAATACATATGTATTTTAACGACGACAATATTTTAAAATTAGAACAATCTAAACACAAGAGATCGAATGTATTTTTTCTAACGTCAAAAAACAAGCATCGATATACTCCTTTAGAGACCTTAATGACTTAATTAGTGATTCTTTAGATTTGGTAACCGCTGGGGGACCACGTTGGTCAATTCTGTCTGACTGGAGAAAAACGAATTTTTATATCTTTTGGTCTTAATTTTAAGTGAATTTTTTCCCTGATGAAGCTGATCTTAAGTATCTGTGATGAAATGGGTGGGGTGTGATCTTAAGTATCTGTGATGAAATGGGTGAGGTGTGATCTTAAGTATCTGTGATGAAATGGGTGGGATGTGATCTTAATTATCTGTGATGAAGAGGGTGGGGTGCTTCCAATTTATTTTTCAGTTTTAGACAAGCATTTTTCTTCAAATAGTGTCTCAAGCAAAGAATGTTTTTAGTTTGTTTGATATAACTAACTTTCTTGATTCATCTAATTTAGTGGTCCCCAAATTGCGGTCCATGGACCTTCACCGGTCCGCATGCCTATCGCTGTCGGTCCCCATAAAAAAAATATCTATTGTCAAATAGAAATAAAAGTCTAAAAATAAATTATGCACCGGTCCCTGGTAAAATGTCGAAACTTGTTCACCGGTCCACCAGACTTAAACGTTTGAGAACCACTGGTCTAATTAACTGGCGTTTGTCAGATGATAAATTCCCACACCTGCAGTTAATACTTACCGAAGTTTAAGTTTAGTAGGCTTACAGTTGTTGCACTGTAGAATAAATTAATAACTCGTTCATTTACAACGAAATTTTCCTTTTATTTTTAGATACTTAAGTCTTTGGTTGACTTTTCCCATGCATAATTGGGCCGTGCTCATGCCATGTCAGCTTATTATTGATGGTGTTAACTGCGTGCTTATGTCTTTACATTCTTTACACTGATTCTTCTTTAAATCGAAGACAGGAGAAAAAGATAAAGTTTT